TTTTTTTCTCCAGGGGAGGAAGTGATCTCTGTAGTCTGGAGATCAGCTATAATTCCAGAAGATCTCCAGGCCTCACCTGGAGGTTAACAACCAAAAGATGGTAACAGAAAAAAGACCAAGCAAGGCAACAAGGGCAACTGTGAAAAATTAACTATGAAAAAAGTCAAACATTCAACAAACGTCAGTATCTATTCATGTAAACATATTCATATAAATAAATACACGTTGATGGGGTCCAAACTGGCAGAGACTGATCAAGAGAGAGATCTTGGAGTCGTAGTAGATAACTCACTGAAAATGTCGAGACAGTGTGTGACTGCAATAAAAAAGGCCAATGCTATGCTGGGGATTATTAGGAAGGGTATTGAAAACAGATCAGCCAATATCATAATGCCCCTATATAAATCAATGGTGCGACCTCATTTGGAATACTGTGTGCAGTTCTGGTCACCACACCTTAAAAAGGATATTATAGCTTTGGAAAAAGTGCAGAAAAGGGCAACTCGAATGATAAAAGGGTTGGAACACTTTCCCTATGAGGAAAGGTTAAAGCGCTTAGGGCTCTTTAGCTTGGAGAAAAGACGACTGAGGGGTGACATGATCGAGGTTTATAAGATTATGCATGGGAAAGAGCAGGTAAAGAAAGAGGTACTTTTCTCCCTTTCTCACAATACAAGAACCCGTGGGCACTCCATGAAATTGCTGAGCGGTCGGGTTAGAACGGATAAAAGGAAGTACTTCTTCACCCAAAGAGTGATTAACACATGGAATTCACTGCCACAGGAAGTGGTGGCGGCTACAAGCATGGACGGCTTCAAAAGGGAATTAGATAAGCATATGGAGCAGAGGTCCATCAGTGGCTATTAGCCACAAGGTATAGGAAAAGCACAAATCACAAAGCATTTTGAAAAATCCTGTTAATTGTTATGTTGAAATTTAAGTCTCTTTAATGTTTTCATTTCGTACTATGAAAATTAGACATCTCTCTTTAGAAAGAGATGTCTCTCCCAGCTCTTGTTAGAAAATCAGACTGAGACATTGATAAGTAAACTCACAGGCATTTTAAAATCATTTTATCAGCCTGACCACATTGTCTGTTCCTGGTATTTTCCATTTTGCAACTTGACTGTACTGTTTATCTTAACCCCTGTAAAAAAAGGGGGGGCATCATTTTCATTATTGAAGCAGAAGTCTGGTTTTTTAAAATATACATAAATGTAGAGGCTCTACTGCAGGTCCTTCAAGGATTTTTTTTGGGGGGAAATCCCTCTCCCAGCTTTGCCTTCACAGTCCTGGATACTTAACCCATCAACCCTTGAGCCGCCCCCCCCCCAGGAGGGGCACAATTCCCCTCCCCACCTCCCCCCACCCCTATGGCTCACCATGGCACGGGCAGACAGATGCACAGACAGCACAGCCCAGTCTTGCCTGGTCTCCGGCTGCGGCTTCTGTCAGTGCCGCCTCCAGACTCCCCACTGGGTGGCCTGGCGTTGGCTCTGAGGGGGCCGCGCCTGGGGGGCAAGGGAAGGGGCGTGCTCCACCAATGGCTCCAGCATTGCTTATGCATCCCCACCGCTGCTGCTGGCACATGGGGAAGGAGGGAAAGGAGCCTCGTGGGGGCGCGCTGGGGGTGCCTCATCCCACAGCCCAGGCTGGGTTGGGCAGCGAGGGCCTTGTCAACTGTGCTCAGCCCCTGCAGGGACAGGCTATCCACCGGGTGCGACCCCAGCGCGGGAGGGCTGCTCAAGCTGCCCACGTGGAGCCCCCCAGAAAGGTGGCGGTACTCTTGCTGCTTGCTGCTGCTTTGGGCAGGTGGCCGAGAGAGATTGGGAGTGAGAGAGAGAGAGCTCGCCCAGCCAGGAGAGAGCTGCCCAGCACCGCGCCCTCTCCCGTTCCGGTGGGTAAGTGGCAGCAGGGGCGCACAGGGGTAGCCTGCGGCTGGCAGGAGACAATGAGATGCTGGGGCATCCAGCAAGGCTTGGTGGTGGCTGCAGCACTCACCACCGCCGCGGCAGGGAAGGCGAGCTGCTCCTGAGCCAGGGGCGCCAAGGAACATGTTGCTGTGGCACCTTTCACTATGGTGTCAGTTCTGCGCCCCTCCAATGTCTCCACCCAAGGCAGTCAAGGTTGGCCTAATGGTGGGGCCGGCCCTGCTTGGGGTGGGGAAACAGTGGGAGGGCTTCTAGTTTCCCCGTCCCACTGCTGTACCTCCTGATGGCACCTGGTATTTTTGGCCACTGTGTGACAGAGTGTTCGACTAGATGGGCCATTGGCCTGATCCAACGATGGCTTCTCTTATGTTCTCATGCTAACTCATTCCATACATATCAATATCATATCCAAAATTTCGGAAAACACTCCAGAACCACACAAAATAGATAGACTCAGATCTAAATGACTAATGCAATAAAGTGCACAGTGCCAATGAGTTATAATGCTTGTTAAGCCTTATTATAAATCGTCTTTCATAAGATGGTTACTGACAAAAAATGATATGATGGATGTAAGTTTTAATCTTCAAAGGTCTCACAAAACCTTCTTCTTCAAGGCAGAACAGAATGAAGTCCTATGTATCCATCTCAAAATACTCATAAGACAATTTCTTAGAGGCATGCAATTCAAATCCTGCGTGCCTGTAAGAAATTGTCTTATGAGTATTTTTAGAATATTATGGTTGACTGTTCTGTGTAATATGGCTTGAGATGGATACATAGGACTTTGTTGTGTTCTGCCTTGAAGAACTTTGTGGGAAATGGATACCAAGGCTGGCAGGCTCCATTGGAGAACTGAACAACGGTGTCCTTGAAAGTTATTGAGATCTTTGAAGACTGAAACTCAAATCCATTGTACCATTATTTGTCAGTAACCATCTTATGAAAGATGATTTATAATAAGGCTTAACAAGCATTATGACTCTATGGTATTATACCCCACTGAAGTCCCACACCTCCCCAAACTCTACTGTCTTCAGGCTCCACCCCCCAAATACCCAGGTATTTTCTAATCTGGAGCTGGCAAAACTACCAGGAACAGATAATTGGCTGTGATACCTTTGCCAAGTTTTTTTGCTGATAAAATATCAAGAATACATTCTGATCTGGATGTCAGTTATGACATAGGTATACCAGCAGGGATCATTTCCTGCAGGAGCGCACAGGAGTGGAGCTCCGGCAGTAAAGAGCCCAGGGGGCGGGCACATGCAACAAGCCCCACCCCCTGCTCCCAGCAGCCCTCAGTCAGAGCAAAAGGCAGCCAGGTAAGTTGCAGAGCTCCCCCTGGCCCCTCGGTCCAAAACAGTCCAGTGTCACCTTTAAGACCAAGTTTTATTCAGGTACAAGCTCTCCCTCCTCTGCGAGGACAGATCTGCACGTTCCCCCCCCCCCCAATAGCTAGCAAGTGGAGCCTGAGCGGTGGGTGTTGCCTTCTGACACACTTTTGGTGATGTCAGAGGGTGTGGCATATGCAAATACGTTATGCTAATTAGTTATGCTAATGAGCTCCTGCACCTCTTTTTCTATTAAATGACCCCTGTACACCAGAAGAAACACCTAAATACACTGCCTGGGATATTTATGGATTATTTTGATGCACTTTCTGTGATGGATGTGGACAAGATCTTGGAATCTGTGAAGGCCACTATTTATACCCTGGATCCTTGCCCATCCTGGCTAATAAAGGGTGCGATCACACGCAAATGCTGGGCAGATTTTAAGGGCGCGATCAGACGACAAAATCTGCCAAGCGTCCCGCTCCCGTCAGCAACCAGTTTTGCTCCGCTGCAGAAGCGGAGTAAAAAGACACCGGGGAAAACCCAGTAGCAAACGGGTGTGCTACAGGCCAGGAACAGACTTTTCCCAGTGTGATCATGCCAGCATGCTTCCATGGCGGCGGGATGGTCTGATTGGGCCATCCTAACTCCATGTTGTCCCCCCCCCCCCCGGTTTCGATATGCGCATCATCGGACACTGCATAGGGAGCACTCGGTGCGGAGATGTAAATCATCTCCTTTGTTGAAGTGCACCGGAAATATGCAGGCAAAAAACCCCGCGACTCAGCTGTGGTTGCGTCTGATCACGCAGTGGCAGGCTGCCTCCGCAGCTCCCAGAGACTGTGTGATCATGCAAATGCAGGTCAAATTCTTGCGGAGCAAATAGCTTGAAGGTCTTGAAGGACATTGTTCTCCCCACTTTTGAATTCAGCGTTCCGTGCACCTTGGTGTTTAGTCATGCCGGCCACATGACCACGGAAACGTCTTCGGACAGCGCTGGCTCTTTGGCTTTGAAACGGAGATGAGCACCGCAACCCTAGAGTCGGGCTCGACTGGCTTTCGAGCAAGGGAACCTTTACCTTTACCTTTACAGTTCAGTTGCTCTGTACAAAATGGTTTTACAAATGTACTTGAATAAATTATTAGAGACTGTGGTTTATACTTCTGTGTATAGCTTAAGCAGGATTTTATGTAATTTCTGTACCTGTTAATGTGTTGTGTGGATACATATGCTGTGCTTCAGTTCCTTCTGGTGGTTCCAGACTTCTAAAATTCTAATGCATTAGTTACTGAATGTCCCATTTTGTCTGTTGCACTGACCTATGCATAATCTGCCCTGAGTCCCTGTGAGAAAGGTGGACTGTAAACAAGCAAACAAACAAAGGCAGTTTGCATTGCTGCTCCTTTAAATCTCAGGCAATGGTAAAGGTGCAATTTATTTAAGACTGCCTTTGATACCTAGATAATCCCCATTTGCTGTTACTGCTGTTTGCTTGTCGTCTTTCAAGTCTCTTATTTATTGACCTTTGGCTGCCCTTAATAAATTGTTTTCATTGACAGCTATTGATACGTTGGGGATTTTATTAAAATCCATTTTGGATATAAATCCTTCAAAAAATAAAACGGACTGTTGCTCAATAGCAACATCCTCCTTGTTTCTGACATTAATTGTGATGTGCACACATACACATACATATGAATTTTAAGTTTGTTTGTGCTTGTTGTCTTTCAGGTGGTGGAGAAAAATGTGGACCCAGAAACTACACTGCTAACTTATCTTCGAAGGAAATGTATCTGACAATTCAAATGGTTAAGATATTTCATGGTTGCCTAATGATATACAGCTGCTGGAGTTAAGTCTTTGGGGATATCAAATCCCCCAAATTTGACCAAAGGACTAAATTTTTTTGGCTGTCTTTGATCCAACAGCCACAAACCCTCATGCTACTGCTCATGATGCTACTGCTCATGATTGTGAACTGGATACATACAGATAAATCCTAATTTTGTTTTTAAAGAATGGATTGGATCCTCTAGTCAGTGCACTAGAAACCATGGAGGAACTAGATTAGGTTTCTGATGTTTGGCGACATAATCTGGGTCCCGAACTAGATATAGCATGAACTAAGAATGGACACTAGCAGATAGATCCCTTAGATTGGCTGGAGTTGGAAGAGGTTGGGAAGAAAGGAATCCTGTCATCACCAAAGGGTATGCTTGGTAGGGGGTTGGGGTTGAAACGAGCTGCATGGTGCATTTGTTTTACCTGAAAGGGTAGCTGCCCTTCACTCTCATGGCACTGTAAGTTCTACTATAGAGTCACTGTTGGCCCAGCCTGGTTCTTGCAGCTTCTAAATAAAAATAATCCTGTGTCTGTCACTCAGCTGTGGTGGATAGTTAATGCTTCCATCCCTCACTCCTGCATACACCCTGCCAGTAAGCTTTTTGTGTGTGGTGGCTAACCATGCAGATCCAGTCATTTTAGTTATGTCATCACTAAGTGGGGAAAAAGTGAAATTTCTGGACCCATACAGCCATTTATTTTTTTAGTTATTTTATTAATTTGTACCCCTCCTTTCTTCCCAATGGGGATTTGAAGCAGGTTACCTCATTCTCTTCTCCTCCATTTTATCCTCACAACAACCCTGTGAGGTAGGTTAGGCTGAGAGAGTGTGACTGGCCCAAGGTCTCCTATTGAGCTTCCATGGCACAAGAGGAGATTCAGAACCAGGTCTCCCAGATGCTAGTCCAACATTCTTAACAACTACACCGCACTGGTCAGCCTAGTCATGTGTGAGGTATTTAAAATGGTTTGGGGGTGGACCAACCTAAGGAATTTATCTTGGTGGTGGAACTTTCCACCTGTGTTTTGGCACTGTCAAAGCTTTTTTCAATGATTTAATATGTAAACACAAAAAGAAAGGAGAACAAAGAAAAGAAACTCTGAACATGGTGATCACATTTCTGACATTTCAGCTACAGATCAGTATCTATCAGGGCAGGTACAGCTGATACTGTTTAGTTTAAACCTGATAGGACACTTTAGAATGAGGTTCATAAATGTGAGAATCCCTCCATCAAAGTCAGGTTTTTTCCTTGTAAAAAGCTGCCCTCTCTAGCTTCAGATACAGCACATGATTGTATGGTGCTAATTGGATTTCAGAATATTTCTGAGAACTGTATGTATCTCACAATCCAAAAATATATATTTTTTCAGAAATAAACATTCTTCATTGACTTCTGTGTTGCATAATTACTGCCATTGCCTAATCATATTATCCCCTCTTAGCCATGCTGCTCTGGTAACATCAAATAAATACAGTTTATGCTTCTAAATTGATTCAGCATCTCTTTTTTTCCTGGCTGACCCCCTTCACTAGATACAGCAGTTCTGAAGGATAAACATTTTCTATGCTTTATATCTTTATTGTATACTATTCAACGAATGATAAAGCTTGTACACTTTTAAAAATAAAATCATCACTAGCTAGCTTTAGCCTCTAGGTTTCTCAGATGGGAGCAGAAATGGCTTGTAGGGGTACAAGGAAAAGCTAGGCCACATCAATGCTTTTGTTATAGGCTCAAGACAGTTTATGAGAGACAGCTCAGGGTTGCCCCTTGTAAATGGAAATTTGATCCTGTCGTAAGGATTACTGACAATAGAAGTTATTTCAAGCTATTTTGCTTTCTTGGTATATTTTTCTTAACCTACGTTCTGTTAGTGGGTTTATGTGGAACCAAACTGGGCTGTGGAGAAGGTGGATGTGGTGCCTGCACTGTTATGATTTCCAAATTTGACTGGTTCCAAAAGAAAATCATGTATCCTTTGACATGTGTTGAGATGGAACAACAGGCCAAGTATAAAGGCATCTTCAAAGCAGATACATAAATGGAGAAATGTTGTTGATTAACTTCTGTTCTTCCTGGGGTTGCCCATCTTTAGGAAGGGCCAGGACATCTTATGGAATATTATAACTGCTCTGCAGACTCCAGAGATCTGTTCCCCTGGAGGAAATACCTGCTAAGATCTCTCCCTCTCCAAACTCTGTCCTCCCTAGGCTCCGCCTCCACATCTCTAGGAATTTACAAACATGGAGCTGGCAACTCTAGTTCCTACCCAGACTTCAGCTGCTTTCCAAATCACAGTAAGATCTATGGATAGAATATTTTTTCCCCAAGGAATATAGCATTTCCTCCAAGTATATGGCACAACAGTGCCCTGATGATAACCTTTTGTGTTGTGCCTTGGCTATCACTGGTAACAGGATGTTTGCTCTGTGCAAACTTTTGGCGTCACAGAAATGACAGAACACATAATCCTATGGCAAAATTTTGCAGTTACAATGCATTCCATTATTTTGCTCCAACAAACTCTGCTCTTCTGCTATCTTAGTTTCTTAGCATTTGCTAAAGCGTTAGCTAAAAATGATACTATAATCCACTGCACTTTTCTCAACATTATTTGTTGAGTTAGATTTATAGTATTTTTTAACATGGCAGACTTTTTATATCCTATTAACTCCAGTAACACCTTCATGATTGGCACTGAATATTTTGAGTGATTACTGATAGTGCCTTTCTCTCTTTCTCTCTCTCAGGCTTCCATCAGTCCATCTTCTATCACTTTCTCTTATTTTTCCTTTATCAGTAGCAAGAATTTAAATTTTAGAAGTTTTAGAATTGCTCAGGGATTCTTAATTTTAAAAAGCCTTTGCAAGTTTATTTTTAGAATTTTGTCTATAGTTGTTCACAATGATTTTAATTTGCATTTTTTTCAATTGGAAGAAAACCTAGGCAATTTTTCCATGTTTCTTGTGGCCATATACCACTCCCCTCATCCAACAACAAAGATGTATGTGTGTGTGCATGTATGGAAAGTCGTAAGCATGTGTGTGTCAAAAGAGGCTTCTGTGCATTGATGATCTTCTAGATCTGCTTAAGGAACTGTTTGAATGGGAATAAATATCTGGGCACACTTCTGTATCTGGATGCACATCAATATTTAAAGAATCCAAAGGAAATCTGCATCTGTTACAGATGGGTGGAGATGAGGAGTGGGCACAAACTAGGAAAATAGAGGTTCGTTGGAGGTTCGTGGTGTGAACCTACAACAAACTCCTCCATTGCATGAACCAGTTTGTGGTTCGGGGAGCTCGGCCCATCCAGAAGTTAGCTCCAAAAACATTTCAATGCATTCAGAGCCCACCTCTGGGTTGGCCGGCCTGACTGAGCTCTGAGAGTGAGCTCTGAAGGCCTTTATAGTTCTTTGGAGCTCACTCTTGGAGCTCAATCGAGTTGGGTGGCCTGACCTAGAAGTAAGCTCCGAAGGCATTTAAATACCTTCAGAGCTCATTTGGGTGGGGCCGCAGGCCGGTGGTGGGCTCTGACAGCATTTAAATACCTTCAGAGCTCACTTCTGGGTGGGCTGCCAGACCCAAGAATGCGTCTCCCGCAAATTTCACAAACCTTGTGAACCTCCATGGAGGTTCATGGGCAGATCATGGGAGACACATTCTCCTGGACATCTGGTTTGCAAACCATAAACCAGCTTGGTTCATGCTTGAACCAGGGTTCGTTTGTGAGTTTGTGCTCATCTTTAGTGGGGATATATCTTTCACCCTTCTATCCATCTCCCTATCCAGATGGCACAATGTACAGCCCCATCCAATGTCTTGGGCTATCAGCTGTGCTCAGTACGTTGTAGCCAGGGTTCCCTCTAAGCTGAGTTAGTGTGAGTTAGCTCACAATTTTTTAGCCTCTGGCTCACACATTTTTGTCCCAGCTCAGAAAGGATGGCCCCAGAGCAAACTAATTTATGCAGTAGCCAAATCACTCGGTCACAGCTTTAATGCCAGTAGCTCACAAAGTTGAATTTTTGCTCACAAGACTCCACAGCTTAGAGGGAACATTGTTGTAGCACATGAGTATACCAGGGCTGGAGGCCATGGGATGGATTTTTTTAACCACTCACATTTTGTTACTATATTTACATCAACATTATTTCTGGCCAATGCTATGTGAGCAGTTTCCTGTACAAGGTTAATGAGATTTCATTGGTTTAGTTTGGAAGTCCCAGCATCAGATTATACAAAGTGAAAAATATCCTTGACTGATGGATCTAGACACTATTCTGCCAATGCTTGCTTATTCCCTATATGTGCCCTCCACCATGTAGCAGTAACAACTGTTGAAGGCATTGGAAGCACAAAGACAAGGCTCCACCCAGTACAGGTAAGCTATAGCATTGCAACAACGTTTTAACAAAGCATCTGGCCCCTGGTATAATCTTTTTGTTTTATCCATGGTGTGTTTCATTGCTGGTTCTTACTGATCCATTTTTGACAATCATGGCTTGGTTCATTGGATGTTTTGCAATAAATGCTGGTATTCTACAAATGTCAAGAAGCTTGTTAAGTGAGAGAAGACGAGCAGAGTTCATCAAAGTTAAGTCTAGGGACTGATTCCATTCAGTATTTTAATAAAAACATAAGAGAAGCCAATGAGCAGCCTGTTTCCAACAGCGACCAATCAGATGCCACTGGGAACCCCAAGTTCTAGTATTACGAGAGAGGGAGAAAAAATTTGAATTTCTCTACACCATGCATAATTTGTAGATCTCTACATGCTGCCTTTAGTTGAAACGTTATGAAAAAGAAGGATGAAAGAGCCTGCTTAAATTAGTATAGATGGAAGACAGAAGGCTCTGAGGAGACATACAAACAGTACAGAAAGGTTACCAAAGCAGAATAGGAAGGAATGGTTTAGGACAGAAGAAGACTACAGGTACAGGGCAGGTTCTACCAGGAAGAACAAGTAGAAGAGTTTGGCCATTATTGAAAGTGTGGCCAAGTACTAGGTTTTAAATCTAACAATAAATTATTACTATATTTTAAGTGTTAGAAGTATTTTATTTACCAAGGGGAGGAGACCAATTGAGTTTTCTGCCTCAAGGCCTCAGAATGTCTTAGGCAAGGTATACAGGTACAAGAGCTAATAGCTGAAAGGTACCTGGTAATAAACTTTGGTTTCAGTGTCCGGGAAAAATGGGTTTTGAACAGCTAAGGTATAAAATACCTGATGTATAAAGTAGCTTCTTTGTAGGAAAAGATCCTTGGTTGTTTTGAAGGGCTATTTTTGGGCAGGAACGCACAGGAATGGAGTTTCGGCTGGCTCCCAAGTTGGCCACGCCCAGCAGGAACTCATTAGCATAATAGGCAACACCCAACAGCAGAAACTTATTAGGATTGGCTACATTAGGGGTGTGTGGCCTAACATGCAAAGGGGTTCTTGCTACAAAAAAAAGCCCTGGGTTTTGACAACAAAAAAGGTGAACAGAATAAGAGGCAAAAGGTGGGTGTGGCAGGATGACCTAACTTCTGGTAACATGGGGTTGTGGCCTAATATGTTCATAAGCTGTGTTGTCATGGGTGTGGCCTGATATGCTAATGAGTTTCTGCTGTTGGGTGTGGCCTATTATGCTAATGAGCTCCTGCTGGGCTTTTTCTACCAAAAAAGCCCTGGATAGATGTATGTACAACAATAATGTTTATTTTAGGCTACAGAGGGATTAGGAAGTGTTTTCCACTCCAGGTTACAGTATTTCATTCCCTTTTCCTGGAGCATCACATATGGAAATCTCCTATTAGGAAGAGTGGCCTTACACGTGCTGTTTCTTCCTGCCTGGGGCACAATGTAATATAATCTTTCAGGCTGATTTGGAATGTGTGTCAATTAAACCCATGCAGTTCAGCATCCCTCAAGCTGAGCACAAAGGCCACAGCACTCCTCTGTTTTTGCCTCCTCTCATAATTCATATTCAAAAGTATAATGTGGGTGGGTGAAAACTTATGAATGATGCATCTTAGTGCTGAGGACTTGAACTGAACTTGGACAAGACAAGACACTGTGATTGGATCTCCAGATGTTTTGTGTTTGGATTTTTTAAAAAAAGTAAATGGTAGTCACAAGGAGCCCTGATTTGAATTCATAGAATTGGAAGGGACCTCCAGGGTCATCTAATCCAACCCCCTGCACAATGCTGGAAATTCACAAATACCTCCTCCCACATCCCCAGTGAACCCTGTTCCACACCCAGGAGATGACAAAAAACAAAAACAAAACACAACAACCCAGGATCTCCAACCAAACTGGCCTGGAGGAAAATTGCTTCCTGACCCCAAAGTGGTGATTAGCATTTCCCTGGGCATATAAGAACTGGAGTTATGGTGTGGTGGGAGGGGGTTAACTCTTCCCCTATATGCTGTTTTCCTGACTTCGAATAACCTGTTGTGGGCCCAAGTGGAGGAAAGATGCAGATTGCCTGTATGGATGTCTGTATTCTTCCAACAGAGTGAATAGCAACTCTGGGGGACTGCTTGGGGTTGATAAAACAGCAGAGGGAGGACGTCACGCCATTCCGAATCAGGATTCACCACGTCTGCTGGTTGCCAAGGGGAAAAAATGCACTGGATCTCTGGAAATGGATTTTCAATTGTATCATCTGATTTCACTCTTAGATGTGTCTATGATTTATTTGTACTTGGTTCTGTGTGCTTCTGTTCTATGGAAATCTGTTATATCTGCTTATTCTATTGGGAAAGATCGTCCAATAGAACAAACACTATGGGAATGCTACCTCACTTAGGGAATCCCTAATCAGGCCAAGATGGATTTTCTTTCTCTCTTTCTCAGGAAAGAATAGCAAAAAGCCATGGATCCCAGTGTGGTTTCTGCACACCAGGCATTGTCATGTCCATGTACACACTTCTTCGCAATCAACCTGAGCCCAAAATGGAAGAGATTGAAGATGCTTTTCAAGGTACAGATTTTTAAAAATATTTCTTAATGTGTGTTTGTGTGCACGTGCGAGTGTGTGTCACCTGGAAGTCATGGTGATCTCTGGTGACTGACCCCTACTGGGGGCCCGGAGGATATTCAGAGAGGTAGCTGAATAAAGCCTGCCCCTGCCTCCTGATATTCCAAGGAGGTCTCTGTATAGATTCTGCCCCCCAGGCCAGTCCAGGGATGAGGGGAAAACTCTACACTGGCTCAGTACATTACACAATAACCCAGAGAGGTAGGCTCTCTGGATTTCAGAACAATAGCCACCAGACAGAACACACTAGCACCTCCTCAGAGATGCACTTAATAATGGTAGCGTGTAGCCAGTTAGGCTGCAAGATTTAGGTTTGGGATTCAGTTACACATCAAAATAGACTCTATTTATAAACAAGAATAAGGTTTATTCAGCACAGAGCTTTGCAGTTAGACTAATAAGGATTTCCAAAATAAGAAAGACTAGGGCAGTGTTTGCCTTAACTAAACATAATGCTTCATATTTACCAAGTCAGGAACAGTTATCAGTCCAGAATAGTCCATTGTAATAATCCAGTAGCCCCAAGGGATTTGGAGCAAGAAGTCCATCTTTGCCAACCATGAGCTTAGCTCACCAAGCAATCCTTTGTCCTCCAACAGACCACATGGCAGGACAGCATGCAGGTGAACAGAACACCAGGGTAACAGAGAGCATAGCAGGAGAAAAAGAGAGTTCCTCTCATTGGGAATGACCAGATATAGTGCAATCCCAGTCCCAAATTAGCCCTGGCCAGGGGCCAATTGGAGTAGACACAGGAGTGTCCAATTGTTAAGTTGCCATGGGTGCAACATCTGAATGGTCAGTACTCTGAAGGCCACACCTGCAGTCATGTGACCCCAAATTCCAACCACTTCATTTTGTACGTGACTCCTGACATGCAGGCACAGCCAGGCGCCATCAGGTCTGCCTCTTCCCTTAGCGGTGTGAAAGCATGTGTGGTTATATGGCAGGGCAATTGAGCTTCTCTGACCAAATGGTCAGCCATTTGGCTGGCAACAGGAAACAAGGTATCAGAAAGACATTCCAGGGGAAGGCATGAAACCTTTAGAAATCAATATTTCTATACAGTCTCCCATCCAACCACTTGCCAGAGTCAACCCTCCTTAGCTTCCAAGATCTGATGGGATCAGGCTTGCCTGGGCTATCCGGGTCAGGGCAAGGTACAGATTTTCCATACCTTATTCACTTGCACCTTTTCTGGCCAATTTTCCAGCCCTTAATCAGTGGAAAGCCAGGTTCACCATGACCAACACCTGCTCAAAGTGTATCTTATACACTGTATAGGATACAAAATATTGAATATTGCAAACTTTTCTGACTCTAGATAAGCAGCAACATGGGGGGGAAAACAGGCTTTCATTTTTAAGTTGCTGGGACTGGGACCTTTTTACATAATGTTTCAGACAGACTCTCTTGACACCTGGAATTTGATTATCGTTCTCTCAGCCATGACAGTACACTTTATCCAGCAAACAAAATTATGTTGTTCAATGGGATTACCATGTTTGGCTCAAAAGAGATGTGGCAAAACAGGTTTCTTTTACTGAGAATTCATTGACTGCCCTTGAGTAAACCCGCCTCTTAACTTCAGTTCCCCATCCCATGAATGAAACAAGAATTGTACACCCTTTTGTATCATGTGTCATATTAAGTAATTTATAATCATTATTTGGGATTTGACATATGTGGTCTGGTCAAGGAAATCAGATGAAATCATTAAGACTGTGATACTTTGTGACACTTACAAAGAGTTCTTAATTTTACTCTGCATTGTAGTTGTCAAAGAAAAAAAAAGACTTCCTGTATTTTTCATCTCTCTCTCTCTCTCTCTCTCTCTCTCTCTCTCTCTCTCTCTCTCTCTGTGTGTGTGTGTGTGTGTGAGTGAGTGAGTGAGAGAGAGAGAGAGAGACAGACAGACAGACAGACAGACAGACTATGGTGAAGAAATTTTTGGAGACAGTATGAGTTTGAATTAGGACCAAACTGGAGATATGTGTTTTCACAAGCTTTATACCTTTTCTGTTTTTGTACTGAGTTTTTCCTGTTAAAAACACCTGTAAAAACTTCCTGTTTGCCTGTAAAAAATATGTATTTTAACTGATATATCTGCATCAGTTGTGTATAATGTTATAAAAATGTTAGGTAAGTATCATCAGCAAAGCATAAAAGCATCAATAACAGTGACAAAAATGAGGTGAACCAGAATGGAAGCTAATAACAATATGTGGAATCAAAAATTGTTCATTCCCTGTCTCCCAAATGGTTCTTTTAAAAAACTGAGATGCAACCAGGTTAGTAGTCTGAGGTAGCAGCCTGGTTGGAGCAGCAGCCTCTCCCTGGGTGATTAACCCTTAAACAGTCCTGGCCTGTTTTTTCCTGATCCCCTCAGTGAAATATAAAGCAGTGTCCATTATGACAGAGCTGAGTATATGTGCTTGTAAAAACAAAGAACAGACATTTGCTAATCCCATTCCAGTTAGTCTAGCTGAGCAGAAGGAAACTGACCACACATAAAACCCTCTAACATACAATGAAAATTCAGAAATAAGATCTACTGAAAGACATTTAAGTCCCCACAGAACAACTGAAAGGTACAAAACTCATAAAGCAAAATGAACTGGTCATCATGTAGAAACATATGTAAGTGCTGTCACAACCAATTTATGGCAAGCTCAGCAAGAGCCTTTCAAAGTAAGCGAGAAGCAGAGGTGGTTTGCTATCATGTAGAAACCAGGAAATAAATTTGGAAAGGACCAGTGGTGGAGAATTGCTTGATTACAGATTCCATTCTGTTAATTAGGAGTGGGGGGGAGTTTGTGGTGCTTTTTCAGAACTCCCCTTCTGACTACAAATATATGGTATTGTCCATAGTAGCAGTCTTCTTTTTCCTATTACTTAATTGACTGAAGTTTGCAACTTGATTTGGCAACACAGGAAATCTCTGCCGCTGTACAGGATACAGGCCCATTCTGGAAGGGTACAGAACGTTTGCAAAGGTGAGTGCCTAAAAATAATGGTTTTTAAAAGTTTCTAATGGGTTTAGATGCCCATAACTAATGGCTTATATACCTAGAATGTTGGAAGAACATATATTTTGGAAACTCCTTTCCATCTATAGTTCTTTCCCTCAGCAATCATAAACCAATGTGAGCCTCTGCTACAAAAGCAAAATTCCTGATAGTGCCTATCAGGAAAACAGCTGATCGGGGCCACCCTGGGATGGAGATTTATGCATACTTTAAGGACTCTTTAAATAAAAAAGGAGCAGACCCCTTCACACACACACACCAAATATGCTCGATGAAAACAGAGGTTTAGTAGATAGATGCTGGTCTAAGTCTCGGTAATCTTGAGCCAATTACTATATCTGAGCCTGTTCTACCTCATGGCGTTTTTGAAGCATAATGAGGAGGAGGAGAGAAACATGTGAACCATCCTGAACTCCTTGGGTCAGTATAAAATAAAACAGAGAAGTTGAGATTTCATTTTAGTCCCTGTTTTCAATCTGTGTGACTAACAGTTAGTTAGTCTGTGGTGTAGAGGCCCATTGTGCCTGGAGAACTGAGGGCTGCAAGGGCTGCTGGCTGACAATGTGAAGCACACCAGGAGGCTGAAGTTGGTTCCTTATTTGCACGTCCTTATTGGAAAGCTCTGAACCCCAAAATAAGGTCTCAACCACCACATATCATATACCCCCACATTCACAGGACTCTCCCCTTCGAGGGGACATATGCTGTATCCTGGTCCAAAGCACGGTTCTGGTGCCAGCTGCTCCAAAGTGCAGTGCCCCAGGACAATCACACAAGCAGACACTGGGGCCAGGCTTAGGGCTGCAAAATCCCACCGGGGGGCGGAAAATCCCCCGCCCCAGAGGCCCATTCCCAGACGCCGGGCCATACAAGGGAAAACTCTATGGTTGCTCCAAAGTGCGGTGCACCCAGGATGAACACACAGGCAGACACTGGGGCCAGACTGCACACCCAAGAAATATTTGGGCCACCCCAAATGACACATCGCCATGCTCTGGAGACTGTGCCCTGCAAGGTGACATACAGTGATGCCCGGTCCAAACACCGGTTCTGATGCCACGAGCTTCTGTTCGCAGGGCCTGTATTTCAAAATATTCCGGGGGGGGGGGAAGCAGTCTGGCCCCAGTGTCTGCCTGTATGTTTGTCCTTTGAAGCAACTGGCACCGGAACTGCGCTTTGGACCAGCACACAGAATGTGTTCCCTCGAAGGGGAGGGTCCGCTGAAGATGGGGGTGTATGTAGTGTGGGGGTCCAAACCTTATTTTGGGTACAGGGGGCACTTCCTTATTCAAATCTCCTTTGAAATACAGGCCTCGGGGAAGCCCTGCGAATAGAAGCTCTTGGCTTGTTGGAGAGGGCCTTAAAAACTGTGGTTCAGCATGTACTGGGTTGGATGGTGGATAAGAGTTGGGAGAGCACATTGTAAACAGGAGCCCGGAGAAAAGGAGCTTCTGCAGCCTCAATAAAGGAGATACTTTGGAGCATACTCAACCCCCATGTGGTTGCCTGATGGGAGTGACAGGGATCGAACCTTTCTCTTTCCCAAGCTTACTAAGGGCACCCGTACTCCATGTGACCAAGGAGGGAGCTAACCCGATGACATTGTCTCTCTGGAAAATGTGCGTTTTTTGGAGAACATTTCCTTTGAAATCTTTCTTTCTGTTTAGGATTGGAAATGCTGTGGGGGGAAAGTTAATGGTCTAGGTTGCTGCATGGTTGGAAAGGAAAACAATGTGGTAAGTTGGATAAATATGTTGTCCTCTAAAATCTAGGTTGGATCCAAAGGTTTTGTTCTGTTAATAGTGGAGCCTTCCTCTGGAGCCTCCTATCAGGAGAAGATGTCTGGTCTGATGGATTAAGACTCCTTGCACTGGTGAAATGTTTGTTGCTCTGGAAGAAGGCAATAGCCTGAACCATGGGAGGAATGGAAGCTTTCCCCACAAATCCTCTGCAAATATTTCCCAGAGGAGAGAATTAATTCTGTTTAAAAATCTCTGAGAGCATGTCAGCACTTCAAACTCTATACTACTTTAAGCATAATGACTTCCCAAAGAGTATCCTGGGAACTGTAGTTTAATCGTTGCTAACAATTATTTGGTTTCTAGCCTCCTCAAAGCTACTGTTCTCAGGGTTTTCCTGGAGAAAGAAAATGACAGTTAAATCACTATAAGTATGTGATTAAGTTTCCTTCTGTGAAGCCTGTGTTTGTTCTCAGGAAGTAATATTGGGGTATCTGCAGATATGTAGATGTAGTGGTTACAGTGTTGGCCTAGAAATAGAGAATCCTCGGTTCAAATCTTCATTCAACCTTGGGCTGATCAGTCACTCTCAGCCGAACCCACATCACAAGTTTGTTGTGAACATGCTGAGGTCCATCAAGAAAGGGAGCTGTAAACAAATGGGCAAGTCATCTCAGCAACTGGGGCTGCCAACCTCCAGGTGGAACCTGGAGATCTCCCAGAATTAATATTGATATCCAGATTACATAGTTCAGTTTTCCTGGAGAAAATGGCTGTTTGGATTCTATGGCATTAAATCTTGCTGCGGTCCCTTCCCATCCTAAAGCTCGTTCTCCCCAGGTTCCACCTCCAAACCTCCAGGAATTTCCCAGCCTAGAATAGGCAATCTTATGTCCTCCTTAGGTAAGTATCTTGCCAGTTGCCAATCTGGGAGTGGTGACCAGACTTCTCACTAGCCCCTCAAGCAAAAATTCCCAGTGTTCCCTGAAAAGAAGGAACAAGCATTGGACCCATTATATAGTGTGGATGTGGCCTGAAGTGACTACAAATATTACTTTGCAAATTTTATAAAGAAGGAAGATGTTTTAATATCCTCTGTTCATATTAAAAAATGTTTAAATAAATAAATTTAATAAATTTATATAAATAAAATTAATAAAATTTCTAGCCAGGCTTTATGTGCCTCTCTATTCTCTATTTTTAACAAAGTTTTAGAAGTGAAATTTGATTTCATAATTAACAAAACAGTATAAAAATCTAGGAAGACGTTGTTCCTGAACTTTCCCCATCCTGAATGTTTGATTCCTCTTGTTTAAGTCTTCTGAACTGTCTGTGAAAAATACAGCAAGAATAGCTGTACATAGGAAAAATTGTTCCATTTCATGACAGTGTTTTTCTTTCATCCCCCTCCCAGGGTTGGGGATGTCCTGAAACAAAAATCAATGGCCCAGATTGCTGCATGAATGCAACAGACACAGTAAGTCTTTCAGATCTGTTGATATTTACTCTCTTACACCTTATTCATTGTGAATATTTTATTTATTTAACACATTTTTATGCCGTCTATCCACCCAACCAAAGTCCCCAAGGAGGCAAACATGAAAACATCTGAACAATTAAAACAGCATTTAAAATTATAAAATAATACTTTAAAATCGTAAAATACAGTAAAAACCCATAAATATGCAACATCAGGACCAGAGAGGAGGCCAGTAACCATTGTTGGGGATGTGCCAAATGAAACAAAAAAGTCTTCACCCTGAAAGTCTTCGGCAGATCAAGCCTTGATATTAATCTTGAAGCAAAGCATAAGGTCGGTGCCCCAATGCCTACCCATTCTAGGGTCCCGATCACATGCAGAATTAGCTGTGCAATAGACATGAATGCCGGGTGGATTTTAAGGGTGTGATCACACGGGAACATCTGGCAAGCGTCCCACACCTGTCGGCAACCTGTCTCATTCTGCCAAAGAAGCGGAGTTAAAAAATACCGGGGAAAGTCCAGTATCAAAGAGGTTGCTACGGGCCACAGATGGACTTTCCCCTGTGTGATCGCTCCACCGCGCTCTCATGGCGTCAGGATGGTCTGATCAGGCCATCCCGACTCTGTGCTGTTGCCCCCCCTTCTCAGTATGTGCATCATCGCATACTGCTGTAGGAAGCCTTCAGTGTGGAGATGCGATTCATTGATCCTCTGTTTAAACGAATCGAAAACAAACAGCCAACCCCCCCCACCCCAACTCACCCGTGATTGCGTCTGATCACGCAGTGGCGGGCTATGCCCGCAGCTTCAAAGAACTGTGTGATTGTGCAACTGTGGGTCAATTTTCTCCGTGTTAAATAGTCTTGCTTCCCCCACGCATTATCTCGCGCGTGTGACCGGGACCTTTGTTAGACTAACTGTGCTTATTTCATGTTTGAATGAAAGAAAAAAATTGCCTTGGTTAAATGAAGAAAGAGCAATCTTCTTCAGTAATAAGGTAAATAAATGTGCTATTTGTCATTTGTAGGCAATGGTATCTTCATCTCTCTTCAACTGTGCTGAGTTCCAGCCTCTAGATCCTACACAGGAGCCTATATTCCCCCCAGAGTTGTTGGTAGGTACATTTTTTCCTCACAGTATACTGGAGACATTTCTCCCCTAGGTAAGTCCTTGTTAATTTCTGCATATAGACTGAGGACATGCTCAAATTATAACCAGTAGTGTGGTAATAGATTTTAGTCTATGATTTATTCACACCTTGAGTGGCAAAATAGGGCATATCTGCTGTGATGATGGTCAGAGTTCAAGCATATTTTCTTTTATGTTGTCGAAGGCTTTCACGGCCAAAGTTCATTAGTTGCCATGCAAGTAAAATACCAAGGTCTTTTTATCAAGGTTCCGGTAAAAGACACACTCGCGCTTGTTAATAAAATGTTTCCTGATGACATAACGGCCTTATTCCACCATTGTTTGACAACCAGTTACTTCCAATGGGGTAATGAATTCTATGAACAGATAGATATAGCAAACTTTTACATGGAGCATTTTGAAAAAAACAGCTTTAGAATCTGCACCCCACAAACCAACATTCTGGTTCTGGTACGTAGATGATACCTTTATCATTTGGAACCATGAAGAAGTAGAACTGATGGAGTTTTTAGACCACCTCAACAACATCCACCCTAACATACAATTCACCATGGAAAAAGAAGTCAAGGGTAAACTCCCATTTCTAGATATCATGGTCATCCGCAAAACTAACCTTCAATTAGGTCACAAGGTCTACAGAAAACGAACTCACACGGACTGCTATTTGCATAAAAACTCCAATCACTACCCTCAGCAAAAAAGAGGCATAATCAAAACATTAGTAGACCGTGCAAGACGGATATGTGAACCGCCCTTTCTCAATGACGAACTAAATCATCTAAACCATGCTCTTCAAGCAAATGGCTACTCCAAGAATGAAATCAGAAGAGCAATTAAACCAAAGGTAAAACAAACAACTGAGGAAAAATAGTCTCCCACAGGAAAAGTGTTTTTGACATATATCAAAGGAATCACTGATCAGATGGGAAAATTTATGAAAAAACACAACCTACAAACAGTATTCAGACCCACCAGAAAAATACAACAGATGCTACGATCGGCAAAAGACAGAAGAGACACCCTTACTTCTGCAGGAGTATACAATGCAGTTGTGGACAAGTTTACATCAGGACCACACAGATAAGATTAGGATTTTAACAACCTCCTCAGGAAGCAGGAAACCTCCTCAGGAAACAAAAGAACTTCCTCAGGAAAGCTCCTCCATTAGCATGTCCATAGCCTGGGGAACTCCTACAAGACAATGACTCAGTCCTATCCACCTTCTGGAGTAGATATAAATTTACTGCCTACCATTTTCTTCTCACCTTGACACAGAGAGTACTCCATCTTTCTGTGTTTATACCTCTGAGAATGCCAGTCACAGTTACTGGCGAAACGTCAGGTTCTACAATGCCAAGACCACGGCCACACATTCCGGAAAATCTACAACTAATATTTTCTTTTAACAAGGAATCACATGGAACCAGTGTTCCCTCTAAGTTGAATTATTGTGAGCTAGCTCACATGTTTTTAGCCTCTGGCTGAGATATTTTTGTCTTAGCTCAGGAAGGATGGCTCCGGAGCAAACTAATTTATGCAGTAGCCCAATCGCTCGCTCACAACTTTAATGCCAGTTGCTCACAAAGTAGAATTTTTGCTCACAAGACTCCGCAGCTTAGAGGGAGTATTCCATTGGACCCTGATTCAGAAAAGGAATATGGCCCAGGGATAGAGGAGTTTTTTTTCTACCTACACCAACATCGAATGATTGGCACATCCTTTTAACTGCTTCAGCAGAAAAGTAGCTATGAGTGAAATTTTTCAATGTGTTGTTCTTGTTTTGACATCATGATTGGACTGTATTTCAACCAGGGGTCTTTTGGGGCCAGAGCGCTGCTCCGGGAGCCCAGGGGTGGAGGCCATGGCAGCAAGCCCTGCCCCCAGCTCCCTGCGCTGCGCCCCCTGCTGCTTCCCCAGGCCAGTGCCGGAGTGCTGTTGCCGTGGGAGGCCAGAAGAGGCCCCCCACCGCCTCCCAGGGCCAGCGCCAGAGCACTTCGGCCCATAGGAGGCCAGAAGAGCCCCCTGCCGCTTCCCAGGGCCAGCGCCGGAGTGCTGCTGCCCTGGGAGGC